AATGCTTTATATTTTTTAATATGTTATTGTTAAAAGCTAAACTTTAATTTATATTTTTTGTTAGGGATTTTTTAGAAATTTAACAAATTAAGGTTCGGTTTTTAATAACAACATATACATATTTTTATGAACAATATACGATATAAAATTGACTGGTCTTTATTGCAATAAATTCTCTTAAGATGGCTTAAATGTTGTTCTCTCTTTCAATTATAATTGTAACTATAGATTTATAGAATTTGTGTTTGCAATTATCTAAATTAAAGTTTACACCTCATTATTACAAAAACAAAATTATCAAGGATTTAACTATTATTAATTTACACATTTGAGACTTTGCACTCTTACTTCCTAAAAATTCCAAATTTGAATTTACTATTTTTTATCATTATATTATTTGTTTCTGATATAGCATCATTATCAACAGAATAAAATATAAAATTAAATTCGCTTGTGGGACCAAAGCTGCCTGAAGTATAACACACCCGTGAAGGGAATCCACATTAAATTATAAGGAGACACTTTCTATGAATAATAAATATACTTTGGATAATATATTTCTGATTGTTTCTTTAATTTCTTCTACAATTTATCATTTAGTTAAGTTACTGCATTGACTTGTAGGATAATTTTAATAGAAAATATTTCTCATATCTAAAAAAATATATTGTGTAATTAAATGTTAGACTTGTTGAGTTTGGAGTATTGAGGTTAAAAATCTAATTAACACTCCTAGTTAGTCTTAATTTAAAACAAAATAATTTGAGCCATCAAAATTTAACGCTTAATGCAACATGCGCGAAACCTTTTTTTTCAAAAAAAAAAAAAAAAATCTTTGGCCAACCATACATGTGAACTTAATTGCATCCATTAATTCCCTAACCAACAATTTACGTGTCACGCTCTTTTAGTCTTAAAGCTCATGTGATCAACCTCTTAAGTCTTAACTCAGAAAAAGAAAAAGCAAAAAAGCACACATGTGAGCGCAATGATATACTCATGGGAACAAAACTGACTGGTATTATTTTTAGGTGAAGAGAATTTTTTTTATCTTATATATAAGTCACATTATTAAATTTTTATCATAATTTTTTTACCCTACATTAAATATTAGAGAGAGAACATATTGTCAAAAAATATATATTTAATAGGGTAAATGAGAACTTATTAAATTTTTATACAGAATTAATAGGTTTTAATATTCTCCTTAATTCTAGTAAAATATATTGCAAGTGACTTATACATAAGATCGAAAGAGTATCACATAGTAAATATAAATATATAAAAGTCATATATAGAAAATGACAAAATAATTCCAAAGTTCCATGATCTTTATTTAAGTTGTCAATTTGTTTTATTAATACCGAAGTTGTCAATTACTACTTAATACTCCCATCATTTTTATTTATAGGAGGAACTAAGGTTTTAAAAATCAGACTGATTATTGAACCGAACTAACCATTGGTTCAGAGTTCATTAATTCAACTGTGGTCAAACTGTTGTTGACTAGGTTGATATTAAATTAATATATTTGTAATTCATGCATCACAATTAAATAAGAAGTACATGCAAATATTTATATTTTTTAAAAAATATTAATAAGTACTTGGTAAAATAATTTATAGTTGATGAATATATGATTAATATTAATTATTCTTAGCTATTCTTTATTTTAATTAATTTTTAAATTAAATTTTTTAAAATTTTAATTAATTCAATCTAGTTTTTAAGGAAAGCAATCCGGTTTTCAACTAATTTTTTTGGTTTTTGACCAATTTTTTTAGTTATTGATTGATTTCATTATGGCTGATTTTGAGAGGTCAACTAAACCAGACCAAGAGCCGGTTCCCAGTTAAGCCGACCAGTTTGGTCTGATTTTTAAAACAATGAAAGAAACTACTACTTTTTTTTTTATATAAGTTAAATCACATTTTTTCAATAGAGATTTATTACAAACTTTCTAAATTACCCCTCATAATTTTATCATTTATAATCATAACAAACAAGTAAGGAATGCTTGATTAACATAATTAATGAAAGGTATTGTAATTCAATTCTTTTATTTTCAGATACAATTAATATAGTTAATCGATTTTCTTAAATTATGTGATACAGTTTTTTCTTCTACAAATAGAAACGAATGAAGTAGTTGTTAGTGAAATTTTGTTCAGCTAACAATTAAACAACAATAAATAACTATCTAATGAGTAATAATAATTGACAACTTAAATAAAGAATATGAAATTTTAGAATAATTTTACAACCGTATAACTAGTCTCTAAAGAAATTAGAGTGTTATTTAAGGGGTTATGCTTTTTCAGGAGATGCTTTTTTATACACACTTTCAATATATTTTATTTTAATTTAATGGGCTTAGATCACTATCATTTGTACCATACTCATTTGATATTTTATTTTCAAGAAGCATTTATGACATTTTTTTTTCTTTATTGCCTTTCATTGAATGATAAAATCATTAAATTAAAGGAAAATGAATGATTGATCACAATTCACAGAAGCATCTTAATCAGTCCAAATTTTTCAATTAAAAGTATAATTATTATAAGAAAGTAGGAATGGTTAAAATGATTGCTTATCTTTGAAAACGAAAGTAGTATACCTTAAAAATACATACGTAAATGAATTAGGTCTATTTATTTTCTTTATAGAATTATTTTTGTTTCTCTTAGATCCGTTTACTGATAGAGTGTCATTATCAATAGGACAAAATATAAAATTAAATTCGATTGTGGGACCAAAGCTGCCTGAAGTATAACACACTCGTGAAAGGAATCCACATTAAAATTTAGAAGCAGACACTTTCTATGAATAATAAATATACTTTGGATAATATATTTGTGATTGTTTCTTTAATTTCTTCAACAATTTATCATTTATTTAAGTTACTGCATTGACTAGTAGGATAATTTTAATAGAAAATATTTCCCATATCTCAAAAAATATTGTGAGATATAATTAAATGTTAGACTTGTTGAGTTTGGAGTATTGACGTTCAAAAATCTAATTAACACTCCCAGTTAGCTTTAATTTAAAACAAAATAATTTGAGCCATCAAAATTTAACAAAAAAATCTTGGGCCAATCATACATGTGAACTTACTTGCATACATTAATTCCATAACCAACAATTTATATGTCATGCGCTTTTAGTCTTAAAGTTCATGTGATCAACCTCTTAAGTCTTAACTCAGAAAAAGAAAAAGAAAAAAGCACACATGTGAGCGCAATGATATATACTCATGGGAACGAAAATCACAATGAGGTACTCTGTGATCTTATTTATAGGTGAAGAGAATTTTTTTTATTTTATGCATAAGTCACATTATTAAATTTTTATATTGTCAAAGTATATATATTTAATCGGGTAAATGACAACTTATTAACTTTTTTAGATAGAATTAGTAATTTTTAAAATTCTTCTTAATTTTAATAAAATATATTGGAAGTGAGTTATATGCAAGATTAGAAGAGTATTACACAGTAAATATAAATATATAAAAGTCATATAGAGAAAATGACAAACTAATTCCAAAGTCCCATGATCTTTATTTAAGTTGTCAATTTGTTTTATTATTTTTGAAGTTGTCAATTACTGTTTAAAATTCCCTCCATTTTTATTTATAGGAGAAACTATTATTTTAATTTTTTTATATAAGCAAAATTACATTTTTTTTCAATAGGAATTTATTTCAAACTTGCTAAATTACCCATCATAATTTTATCATTTATTGTCATAAGAAATAATTAATAAATTCTTAATTAACAAGATTAATGATATTATAGTTTAATTCTTTTATTTTCATGCATAATTAAAATAGTTAATTAATTTTTTTAAATTGTATAATATAATTTTTTCTCTTATAAATAAAAACGGATGAAGTAATTGTTAGTGAAATTTTATTCAGCTATCAATTAAACAACAATAAATAACTATCAAATGACTAGCAATAATTGACAACTTGAATAAAGAATATGAGATTTTAAAATAATTTTACAACCGTGCGACTAATCTCTAGAAAAATTAGAGTGTCATTTAAAAGATTATTCTTTTTGAGAAGATGCTTTTTTATACACATTTTCAAGAATCTCTCACTAGAATGATGCTTAATGGGCTCAAATCACTATCATTTATGCCACATTCATTTGATGTTTTATTTTCAAGAAGCATTTATGACATTTTTTTAATTGCCTTTCATTGAATGATAAAATCATTATATTAAAGGAAAAATGACTGATTGGTCACAATTCACAGAAGCATCTTAATCAGTCCAAATTTTTCAATTTAAAAGTATAATTATTATAAGAAAGTAGGAATGGTTAAAATGATTGCTTATCTTTGAAGGCGAAAGTAGTATACCTTAAAAATACATACATAAATGAATTAGGTTTATTTATTTTCTTTATAGAATTATTTTTGTTTCTCTCATATCCGTTTACTAATTCATGATTATAAAAATCTAAATCCATCCATTGTCATAAATAATTCAGTTGAGAAACCAACGCGTATACGTACATGTAACTAATCATAGTGGAACAGATCATATTCATAAGCTTGATAGTGCTGCCAATTCAAAATTCCAAATCACCAATCACAAAATACAAAATATTTTTTTTAATGCACGGACGTAGCTTCCTATTCTCTTCTTCATAACATTAAAAATTAAGTCAATAATAAATTCAATTTAAAAAAAAATTCAAAAACCCCACTTCCGTATCACGCTTTCTCATTCCTACGCGGCCTCCAATCACAAATTGTCAACCTTATAATCACTTACAACTGTCTCCTCTGACAATTCCTCTTTAGACTTTTTCCCTTCTTCTTCCTCACTTCTTCCCTCTATATCCATATATATAGACCTACCCGCATTCAAACTCAACAAGAACAACGATATTCTCAATTCTCAGCCACGAGAACCATTTTGATCTATCTTTTTTCATCTGTCTAACGCTTAAAACAGTTACAGAATTTGTTTGTTGATCATGGGGAACTATGTTTCCTGCACTCTTTCAACCCCTGGAAGTAAGAATTTGAGAGCCATCAAGGTGATCTTTCCCGGCGGTCAAATCAAGGAACTTCGATCTCCGATCAGAGCCGCCGAGCTGATGCTAGAGAAGCCGAACTATTTTGCAGTGAACGCGCGTTCTCTTCAGATCGGACGGCGGTTTTCTGCGCTCACCGCTGATGAAGAGCTCGAGTTTTCCAACGTGTACGTGATGTTCCCTATGAAGAGGCTTAACTCTATGGTGACCGCCGCCGATATGGGCGCGTTGTTGCTCACGACGAACGCCGCCATGAAGAAGGTTAGTGGTGGAAGAGTGAGAGTCTTGCCGGAGAGTTATAATAATAACAACGTGGAAGAGAAAGAAAGTGATGATATGGCGGCGATGGAGTCGCTGTCGCCGGTGAAGTTAGAGTTGGATGAAATTGAAGAATTCTCAAGGCCGGAGTTCATCCACAGGTTATCTATGTGCAGATCGAAGAAGCCATTGTTGGAGACTATAGCAGAAGAGCCTCTCTGTTCAAGATCATGAGAGTCCGGTTTCTGTAAGGATATGTTTGGATGGGGAACTGTAGGTGACATGTTCCATGGTAATTATGAGGGACACGACATCGTTTTTAAGCCGCTTTTTTTTTTTTTTTGGCTTTTGCCAGCTAAGAATATTCTTTTAATCATTTGCTATTCAGGTGTTTTTCCCACCATTTGGGCATTACTTGCTCGAAGCAGTTTTTCCATTTGGTGAGGGTTAGGGAAAAAATTGTTATATCAATGAATGCAGTTGTATGTATATTAATTTTAATTTAATTAAAAACTATCAAAGTTGTTAAGTACACCATTTTTGATTTGGAATGCTAAAAAAGTTGCATTATAGTATTTGTTTTGCTTTTGTTCCAAGGGAGTGTTTGGTTAAGGATTTTTGAAGGGCCTCTCATTGGGTTAAGAAATTTTATAAGGGAGGGGAGTTCAGATAACCCTTCACCTCCCTCCTCTTTATATTACTCTACTCTAAATTAAATTTTTTTTAAAAGAAGCTAATTTTTTTATTATTTTGTTCTTATATATTTTTTAATATTTTAAATATACACATAGTTAAAAAAACTCTCATTCATTTTAGATTATGCTTCACTCCCAAACCTCAACCGATCTTATTGAATTTTTTTTAAAAAAAGTTACATTTCATCATATTTTATTATTTATTTTTTATAAAAAATTATTATTATTATAATTATTGGTTTATTTTTTTTACATATTAACAATATGATAGGATGAAAGTGAATTTTTAAAAAAATTATGCAATTTAAATTAAAGTGTAAAATTATTTTTTACAAGAAAAAAGTTAAAAAAACTAAACTAATGTATAGGGATGTAATAGCAAATTAGTTATTACTTTTTCTTCATTCCCCTCTTAAATTAAATAAATAATCATTAAAAATCCCTCTCCTCTAGTGAAATCAAATAAGATAATATTAAAATATTTTTTTCTCTTTCCTTAAACTAAACACACCTCAAGGAAGTGTTTAGTTTCAAGGTTTTTAAGAGTGAGGGAAGGGTCTTCCTCTCACATTTGGTTGGCAATTTTTGGAGGGGCCTCCTCTCCCTTCCCTTAGAAATTTTTTGACTGATTTACCTTTTGAAACTTGGTAATATTTCTTAAATCCCTTTCATCGTGCTTTCCATATAGATTCATTGCTCACTGGCTCGCCCAGATTCATCTCGTTGTTGGTACTTCTCCATCATCTGATTGTGACCTTCGAACTCACAGCGTCATGCTTTTCTCGTAAAGCATAATCTCTTTGCGTCCTAAACGCATTGCATTTCTTGATAGCCTCATGAGCAAGAGTCTTCAATTGATTGACCCAACTCTACAAGTTGGATTTGGAGCTTGACGCTCCACCTAATGATGATGCCTTTAATAATTGGGCATCAAATGAGCAATGGGTGAAGTTTTTTTTTTCCCCAAGAATAGGAGAAGCCTTTTAATTGAATGAATTTTATTTTATAAACATTAAATTATATATTTAGCTTATAATTAAATTTAAGGAAGTTTAATGGAGTTTTAGGAAAAAATAGTTTTATAATTAAATTTTACTTTATATGAGGAACAAATTTTAAAAAATAAGATACTCTCTTCATCCTAAATTATAAGACACTTTTAAATAAAATCTCACATTACTAATAAAACTAATTAAATACACTTTATAACATTACTTTTTCAAGATAAAAATATAGACTTTTAAAAATGCCCTTCATTTAGTACTTCATTGATTAAAAAATATTGAAGAGAGAGAATATATAGGAAGAAAAATATTAGACAAGTATTAATAAAATTTTATTTTTATTAAAGTGTCTTATATTTTGGGATGTTGAATCTTTTTTAAAAGTATCTTATAATTTGAAATAAATGGAGTATTATGCAAGGGTATAATATAATAGTAAAATAATTATTATCTTCCCTCCCATCTCCTTCTAAACCAAATAAGATATCATTAAAATCCCTTCAAATAAAACCAAATAAGTATCATTAAAATCTTTTCCTCCCCTCCCCTCCCCTTCCCTTCCCTCCACTATAACCAAACACACTCTAAAAGTTTATTGTATTTTCTGGTGCTAAATTTCTGCATCAGAGTTAAATGTTATATATCTTTAGGTAAAAATGTATTTTTATCCCTTTAATTTTACATAAAATTTCAGTTTAGTCTTTTAATTTAATAAAGTATATTTTTGGTTATTTTATTTTTTTTATGCCAATCATTGTTAGTTTAAAAATTAAACTTAATATGTTAATATTTAAAATTTTAATGTTAGCATTTCTTTAGTTAATTAATGAACAAAGATATTGTGGTTAGAGCATTGAAATGTAAAATAAAAAAAGACTTGCACGGTGGAACCATTCAAATAATCCTAGCCGTTGATGTGATTATCATATCTCTTACTCTTCCAAAGTCTATTTGATTAACATTCCATTGGATAGATTACAGAGGTGCACCCCTTGAATGTCACTTGCGTTAAGCGATTAGTTTTATTGGTTGAATTTAGAATAAAAAAATTCAGATATATCAATGAGTGTAATCGCATTTCTACTATTTTTTGGGTACAGTGTATGTATACAAATTTTAATTAAAAAATTTATCAAATGTGTTGCGCAATTTATTGTTTTGGGATCCAAGTTGTTCCCATAACTCAAAAGCTACATTATATTCTGCTCCTTTACACCATGCTTTTCAACCATTTATATCAAGTTTCCTTTTCTGTCTTACCATTTACGAAAGAGATTCATTGAACTGACCTCAGTAATTAAAAAAACAAAAACAAAACAAAACAATTATTGCAGTTTGTGCCTTTTTAAGATATTATATATTAAATATAAACTTTTCTTTTTCGGCCGGGATTCGAATCATAATTCATCCCATTAAAGAGAGAGTTATTCATATTATGAGAGATTTAATCCTTAGCTTTGTCTACGAAAAAGACTTGTTTGAGACCCTTGAAAGCAAGATTCAATATTTGTGATGGGGTATTTTTATGATAATGGATAGGTGGTGAATCCTCCAATTCATATTTAAACATCTAATATGAATAAATAAATTATCATAATTTTACAATAAATAATCAAGCAGCAACTTAAAATTAAGAAAACAAATATTATATATCAATAACCAAGTTAGATTACATTAATAACCAAATCACAACTACATACAGATTCTAAAGAACGTCTTACCATTATATATATGTATATATATATATATATATATATTTAATATAATTGAACATCAGTATTAATAAGGTAATTTTTATATTTTCACAACATTATATTATAATTTTTACAACACAAATTCTATTTGAACATATTCAAGGAATTCATTATATGCAGAACACAAAATTATAGATTTAACATGAATTAATATATTTAAAATTTATGATTTTAAAAATTAGACCAAACCAACCAATTCAATGGGTTGGATAAAAAATTAAATTTTGGTCCGGTCTAATCAACTCTCTTACACCAGATAGTTGACCAATCGGTCAACAATAAGTTAACCCAGTTAAAAGCAAATCAGTTTTAAGCTTAGGAACCGGATCAAACTTTTTAAATGAAAGAAAAAGAGGCAAAGCTTGTAACTGTCACACGGTTCAAGAGTTGTAATTTTTGAATTCAAGCAACTCAACCCCATTCCAGCACACTGCGCACAGCCTTCTGACATTAAGGGCAATCACCACAGTGGAGAGTTTGATTTGACATCTTTCGACGTGGGACACTATGGTTTTTAAGAACAGTACTTGTTTTCTTCGTTTTCCCTTTTTTTCCATAATATTTGTTGAGTTTTGTCTTTTAATAATAATAATCTTTGTTGAGTTATTTTAATTATTTCTTGAATTATTTTTTCAATGTGAGTGCATATAATTAATCTTTGTACTTTAAATTATTTATCTATATTTTTTAAACTTTATTATAGTTAATTTAAGAGTTAAAGATTAATTTTATCTTTGAACTGTAAACAAAAGTTCACAAATAATTATAAACTCAACTATGAATTAAATATATCTTTTAACTTCAAAAATTTTTTGTTTTATCACCCTATCATTTCTTTTGTTTATTTTTGTTTTTAATATCTTTATTACAAAATATTATTTATGAGCCCCATATCACTTTTTTATATTTTTATATCGTTTCCTCCTCTGTCTCTTCTCCCCTCTTCTCCTCTTTCTCCCTCATGTCTGCATGGCTCCCTCTTCCCTCTGATCTCTCTCCTCCTCAAATTCTACATCACCTATTCTTCCCTTCTCCTTCTCTATTCATATCATTCTTTTACTCGATCATCTATTCTTTGAGGCTAGCCACACAACTTTGATAATCACAAAGCAAGATTTACATTTTTAGAACAACAATGTTAAGAATGACTATGACACTATCACCGAGGATGGAGGCTCTAACCAAGACTGTCACTTTTATAGTTCCACCAAATAAAGGGTGCATGGAGGAGAATAGGTTCTATACCACCTCTAGCAAACCAGAAGACTCTTATGTAAGAAGTTTCTCTCTCCCTTCTCGTGCAAGGAAGCTAAAGCAATTTGAGCCAAGTCCAAAACTACAAGCCTACACATGGAACGATATAAATGTGATTGTAAGTGTGGATGATTTCCTCACTAACAAGTGCATGACGTGCTTGAAAACTATTTATGAGAAGCGACTTGCAAGCTTTCTTTAAAGATATCTTGTAGTATAGTGTTTAAATGTGATGAAGGAGAGAGGGAATGTAAGAGAGGGAGAGAGAACTCTAAAACTAGGACAAGACGAAACTTGAAAAATGTAGCAAGATGTAGATCTATGGAGAGAGAGAGAGTCAAAGAGGTCATTAGAGTGCTCACAAGGTTGTTACATTCCTTCTTCGTCGGTACGATCGATAAGGGTGGCTTCTTGTTGCTTGAAATTGTTGGTGCTATTGATGCAAGGAAGATCAACGATCCTTATTTGGTGCACCAAAGTAGTGGCGCCTACAAAACCTTGTTCTACCACAACAACACCACCCTTAT